AAAAAAAAAAAAAAAAAAAGATTCAACGACGAATCGCAATGACGACGTCATCGTCGAGAGATACTTGTCCCAAGGTGAAATTATCGGAAAACGAGACGAGATATCACCTGAAACAACCGGGCGAGTGAAACAATCGGATTCCCTCGCGAATCCCCAAAGCGACAAAAGCCTCGAAGAAGAAGAAGAAGAAGAAGCGAGCTATTCGCGTTGTATAGGACGCGCAACGTAAACGTACGCTCGCGTGAACAAGCAGACATGAGACTGGAGGCGTCGTAGGGAAATACAAATCTTCCACCCGTGAATACAACGAAAAGCAATACTACAAACAAGGTAATCTCGAGGAACAAAACAAGAGGCAAGCCGCACACGCTTACCGTCACACATTACCCCACAATCTCGCGTCTAATTGAAGCTTATTAGGAAGTTTCCCGAAAATTGACACCTTAGAGAAATTTCACCGACATTCCTTCGTACCAAGAACTTGATCGGCAACACACGATCGAAGCTTTTCCCCTTGGCTCGCTTTTACTCTTGAGAGATATTTTAATATGAATGTATACACCGTATATATATATACACATATATATATATAAACACCGTGTAATCTCGCTCCCTCCCCCCTCCCCTCACTCACACTCCTGTATATATAATTAATTAATTATAGAAACAATTATATAGATATATACACGTTTACACGGAATCCTATTGAATAATCGTGCAACGACGTCTAGGATTAAATAGCGATATCTACCGGGAGACAAAGTCTCGAATGCTGATCGCATTCATCTCGTCCCGAGGAAGAGAGAGAGAGTTGTCCTTAATTTTACTTTTAATAGAAGAGAAGTAGACGAAGAAAAAACGCGCTGATCAAAAAAGAAGTCTACTGCTACTACTACTGATAGATTCCTATTATAAAATTATCGAAGCCATGCCGCGTCTTAGGATAAGACCTGGGAGGAAGCGAGCGAGCGGAACACATAAATAATTAAACGTTCACGTTGATATTTATCAAAGAAAGATATAAATCGAACGATATTATATCTTTAGTAAATCTTAGAGAAAGAAGAGCGCGACTTTTTTGCGTGAGAAAAAAAGGCGACCATCGATATACTTTATCGGTTTCGACGCTCGCAACTCAAAGCCCGAAACTTCGTCACTGAAGAATTCAGAAAGACACGATCGAGGGGATTATTTACTCGCGACGATTGTTTGATATTTCTGAAACGATATTTCGATATTATATAACATCCTGGTAAGAAGAATCGACGATCAGCCAAGATGCCGCGATGCTACATGGTAAAGAAGGCTCTGTGCAACAAGTACATAACTAGCGTTGCCAGAGGATTCGAGAGCTGGGGTCGCGGAAGGAGCACGCCATCGCCAACCACCATACAGCTGCCGGTCTCATCCGTCGAAGGGTGCGTCGCAACCCCTGTTGCACAAGGTACGTTTCGCATTAATTTTGTCGATAATTTCACGATCGCTTTCGTTATTCGCGACGATAATTTATTTTTTGGCGAAGCGTCGTCGACGATCGATTTTTATATTTATATAAGTACATATATCTGTCTCTATCTGCCGTCAAGGGGTTGATATTCTTATGGCGAGATAAAACATGAGTTTATATAAAATCATATCAGCGTCGGAAACAAGTCGAGTGATGAAAAATTGAGACGAGTCTTTCATTCGAGTTTTTTTGAAATAAATTTTAACGCAAAATGCCGTTAAAAAATATATATACAAATTTAAAGGCAAATAATTGTTTAAACTGTGTTTTTGAAACTTGTGTTTTTTTTCCAACACTTTTTAAAGAGCGCAATAACCGCTTTTGATTACCCTCATGATTATTTTAATATGTGTTTTACTGGACGCTTGTGTAAAATTTACTTCGATACACACAAAATATATATATATATATAATGCCGATATATGTATCGAATTATCAAGTGATGATGACGCGCGCGTGCACAACACACACACACACAAATACACACATTGTTGCGCGCCGCGTAATTTCCGACCGCGTTGCTTGGTCGCTACAAAACAACTTTAATTGTCGGAATTCTCCGTGGTGTTACTACTTGTACGGAACATCCGACTCTCTTCGTGTGAAAATAGCATCATGCGAAACTTGGCGAGACAGTAAACGCAGTTACAAAGGCGAGGTGCTTGGGAATCATCGTAATGGCGATGTATACCTTCGTAACACATTGTCGGCACGAAGAGGCGAGAATTTCGAACACTTGTGTGAGTAATTTGGAATTGGCTTGGAATCGTTTGTGGAAACATCCGAGAGAAATGGCGGGCTTTTAGCGATACTTGTTGAATAATTCAAAAGTATTTGCTTGAGATCGGGCAAGAAGATGCACGATCGAACAACTTCATTTGCTCGAAAAATATTTCGCTCTCTTCTTCCGAAGTTTCCGACATTTTTCGCACGCGCTAATAAATTGCAGCAGCAAATCTGAGAATTTTTCGTTATTTTTTTTTTTTTTTTTTTTATTAGAACTAAAGAGATGTACAACTGCTCGGATTCTTAGATTTGCAATATCTTGTTAACATCTCTCTATATATATATAGTTCACAATCTGTTTGAAACATTTTCTTAGCTCTCTCTATTACTTTAATTACAAGTTTCTTTCGTGTACTTGCATTTTTTTTTTTTTTTTAAATAACAGACGCACAGTTTTTTACTTTATATATTTTTAACATTTTCAAATTACTTTTTAATATACGTTGATTATAACAAATCAAATAAAACATTATTGCACGCTAATATTTGCGTTCGGAATTGCTACGTTATTTTAATAAGATATAAATTTTTAATGAAAAAACAAAATCGAGCATTAAAAATTACATTTAATAAAGTAAATAAATCTTTTTATAGATATGTTTTTTTTTTCGCGTGACATCCTTGTGTAATAATTTATCGCGTATCTGTCTTTTATGTAAGGATATTCTCGCAGAACTCAACGATAAAATATTGATGTGCTCGAGGTTCGTAAAAATTACACGGACGACACAAGCGGAAATAATTTTACACGACAGGACGCGACGGAACACCTGTATTCGCATAATAATTTATAGGTGTCGATCCTACAGCAGCGGGTAGGCAGCGACCCTCTTCACGCTCCTAGTAAAAATTTATTTTGCCCGCAAGAGACACGCGCATGTGTTTCGCTTGTACGGAGAGAAACAAACGATACAGAAATATTAAAAATGCCGTATCGCGGTGCCTACGGAGCGGCGCGGCGCAAGGAAGTCGGTCGCTCTTAAAACGAAATGTGCGCTTTCATAACCGAGTTATCGTGAAATTTTATATCCGCTCACACTGTGGACGATCTTCTCTACTCTCCCATCCTCTTTGACCTCGTTTCTAACATATTTGCCGTTATAATCTTCTATATCCACCCCCCACCTCCGCAATCCTATGCAACCCACATCTCTCCCCCTACTCTATCTATATCGCTTGCACTTCCTCCTGTCGCTATCAAGGTCCGACACTCTTTGCTTATCGCGCCAGTAACGAGAATCGGATATTCCGCTCTGATATCTTATTTAGGAAACAAAGCTGCCGATTAAAAGTAAAATACATGCAAACAACTCAAGTTACTATAAATAGACAGACTTTGTTAACATAAACTTTACTTTACGAAAGTAATTTTAAAACATTTTTTTCTGACATGTGTGTGTGTGTGTGTGTATGTGGGGGGAGAGTGATGAATAAAGGACGCATGATGAATAATGAAAATCTCTCATTCCCAGAATGTGCGAATACAACACAATTGAGGGATGCGACAGCTGTGCTCGATGCAAAACTATCCAAAGAACAGCCGAGCGTTGCGAGCACGACGATCACAACAACAGCGTCATTATCATCCGTCAACGCGACCACATCGTCCGCAACGGACTGTTCGATGACGACTCGAATAGAGACGAGCGTCATAGTCACGTGCAGCACTACGTCTCTGACAACTCCACCTCTCACAGAATCGATCGCCTCTACCGTTCAGGAGGCGACAACGACGACGGTGATTTCCTTAGCTCCGTCGAGCGTGCGGTCAACAACCGAGGAGACCACGACATCGTCTATCGCGACGCTGCACCGTTCGCCGTCCGGAGAAATGCCCATGTTTAAGGATCGCTCCCCGGCGGAAACGGAGGCGGCCCACGATCTCTTGGAGCTCTCCCGATCACTGCCACCGTTGCCACCGCCGAGCGTTGTCGCGATCGGCCCTCAGAGTGTAATCGAGGCGCCGGCGAGCGACGTTCAAGAGATGACGGTCTATCAACCAACCGAGCGATCGATTTATCAAGTGAACACGATTGATCTGACCAATTCGAGTGTCTACAGTCACTCGAATCATCAGCAACAACAACCTGCAGCCGCATCCGCCAGTATTATTTACGAACCTGGCACACCTATCGTACCGCCCACAGGCAGCGTCTTTATACCGCTATCACCGGTGCAGGAGATCTTGCTGACGTACAGTACGTCGACTATACCGTGCACGCCGATTATTTCTCAGCAATCGCAGTTTCCGTCACCGGAACAGCAGTCGCAACAGCAAGCGCAACCGCAGTTACAACAACAACCTCAGGCTCAACAGCAACAACCGTTGCCACATCAGCGGCAACAGCAGCAGCAACAACAACAGCAGCAGATCGCAACGAAGCCTCCGCTGACACCGCCGACCTCCGAATGCAGCAGCGACATTGAAAACAGCAATCCGAACTCGCAACCGATGCAAAAGGACAAGGAGGTGCAGACTGTCATGCATCAAGCGGAAGGCGTGAAACCGGTGACTTACACTTACGACACGTTACTCGTTACGGATGGGAGATCGAAAAATAAAAAGACATCTCTCGTGACGAAGAATCAGGAAACTCAGTCGATCGAGACGATCGTGAGTTCCAAGACTATTCGTTACACATGCTGCGAGTGCGGTAAGTAAAACAATATTTTTTTTAATAAATAAACTATATATTTAAATTCAACCTATAACATCAATTGTTTTCTATACGCGTGTATTGTAGTAATTTTTTTTTTGTTCACATGTCAATTAAAACGCGTTAAAATTTGAAAACTACAAAAAATCATCTAATTTTTTTACAATAAATTAAAATATTCAACTAAAGTATTTAGAATCGGGAACCATGCTGGATGTACGTGCAAATATTGTGTATTGTTTTAAACGTGTAAATTTTAATACACATAGAGATTCGATATAAATTTACTTCGAAAATTCACGTAGGAAGTTTGGTTTGCATCTCGTCAAGTACCCAATATATATATATATAAAATACCCAATTTACTCTCTTATGAAATTCAAAAATTTTCATTTTAACATGTGTATTAATTTAACACGCTCAAAAAAATATATTTTGTACATTTGCACGTACATCCGGCATATTTGGCTCGTATCAATCTCAATACTTAGTTGAACATTTTCACGAGCTTTATCATTCGCGTTGCAATTAATATGTATTATAACAAATATTATTAGCACAAGTTGAAAAAAAAAAAAAAGCTAAAGAGGAAAATATATTTCATGCCCTCAATAGCCATTCTTGCATATATATGTTAGACATTTGTTAATATAATTGTTTCTTCTAAATTTTTAAAAATATTTCAAACCGTACAAAAATATATAAATATACAAATACGGTGTTTTATGAAAAATTACATAATCATGCGTTTAATTAGCAAATAGAAAATGATGAAAAAAATCTAACGCATAACGATGATAAAAACACTGTTTTCAAAAACTTTACTCTTTGTAAACAGTAATTGGATTCAATATCTTCACTTAAAAACACAAATGTATTTTTTCTACATAATTTAATACTCGAATTTAATGCGAGATAAACTTAGATTGAGATCAAATATCTCTTTGGCGCGCGATTTAATTCCGCGCAATTTAGCGGAATGTTGCACAAAAAAGTCGTCAAAATCCAACGCAACGTTTTCTCCATCAGGCAAGCAATACGCGACCTCGTCGAATCTGTCGCGGCACAAGCAGACGCATCGCAGCATCGACTCGCAATCGGCCAAGAAGTGCATCCATTGCGGCAAGGCGTACGTCAGCATGCCCGCCCTGGCGATGCACGTGCTCACGCATAAACTGACACACAGCTGCGGCGTCTGCGGCAAAATGTTCTCGCGGCCGTGGCTGCTTCAGGGTCACTTGCGTAGCCACACCGGCGAGAAGCCCTACGGATGCGCCCACTGCGGCAAAGCGTTTGCCGATCGCTCGAATCTACGTGCTCACATGCAGACGCACTCCACCGACAAGAACTACGAGTGCCCCAAGTGTCACAAGTCGTTCGCGCTCAAGTCGTATTTGAACAAGCATCTGGAATCGGCGTGTCCGGGAGACAACGACGAGATCAGCAACGACGTCGACACCCCGCCATAATTTGCCGAGATATCGATGCGCGACGACATCGATCGAAATAGATTCTCTTTTACGAACAGACGGTGGTAATCGGAAATTAACAAGTTTTATCTTTTTTTTTTTTTTTACTTAGAATTTATCTGATTTTCTCATATTAGACGAAATTTTCGCTTTTACGTCGGACAACTTTACGTAATTTGTATTATGGCATGACGCCCGGAGGATTAAATTTGCTGATACAGTCTTGCGATCGATTGTGACTATTCTCATCTATCTGATGCGTAAAATAAAACGCATCACGCTAACTAATCAATTCTGCAATTTGCAGTCGGTCGTGCACAACGTAAACGGAAAATTGTAGCGACGCCATCACGCTGACCGGCAATGCGAAATAGAAAAAAAAAAAAGAAAAAAAGAGAAAAAAAGAAACAAATACACAGATAGATAGGTTTGCACGCTCGAAAGAACCTAAAGGAGAAAAAAGAGGGAAACATATATCGAAAGAGGCTACAGGTCTGTGCGAATGCGAGAGAAGAGAAGAGAGAGAGAGAGAGAGAGAGGGAGAAAGAGATTGGTTTGGATAGTTTCGTACAGAATTTCGAGTCTATCGTTGCATTCGATGGCGACAGAAAGCTTTCACGTTTTCTTTTGTCTTTATGTGCGAAGCCGAAAAATTCACACTTGCAAAGCTCGGAAAAAAAAAAAAAGGTTCATTATCAGTTTTCGGATTATTCGTTTACAATTCGAAAGAACCACGCTGTGGTTCTTTTTTGCAATTTTTGTTAAATATTAAGTTCGCTAAATTAGTAAAAATTTTGCTCCTTCTCTCTGTGGAGATTTTTTTTTATTTTTAACATTTCGTCGCGACGGAAATATCGAATTCGAATTTGTGCCAGATCAGAAAAATGAAACGTTACAAAATACAACAAAATGAGTGAGAGGCGCAAGAAAACGACGAAGAAGCGACGGGGAAGAGCTTTTTCTCCAATTAGTCGATACTTTTGCTCGAAATTGTAGAACCGAGTTAATGACTCTTGCTGTCGCTATCGAGAGAAGGCTCCGTTCTTCTTCTTTTGTACGTCATAGACGACGATCAGACGTCGAATCTTCGCTAACATCCAATTTCAACGGGGGTATCTTTCTCGGTAAGCGCAAAGTAATTCGATTTACTCGTCGGCTTAAACGTCGCGAACGAAGGTGAGAGGAAGGACGGAGGGGTTGGAAGGAAGGGGGGTGAAAATCTCGGCTTCGCGGGAACGAGGACGAGAAGGTAATTGACATATCGGCGTCTCTGGATCTCTCTCTCTCGCTCTCGTCTCTCTTCTTCTCGCGCCAAGAGGTTTATCTGAATATTTCAGTCGCTTCTCTTCATTCGAGAATATTTGACCTATATTTTCCGAATTATTTTCTCGATTCCCATTCGAACGTTTTCTCTTTGACATTGAGAAGAAGTTTACGAATTGCCACACGGATTTTTAATTAACGAATCAAGTAGATTCCGTGATTGATTTCATTAATGTAAAGTAAATTTAATACTCAATTCCAACTTACAATCTCAATCGGTCGATTGTTTTTTTTTTTTTTTTTTTTTTTGTGTTCTTTGGAAGATAAAATCTCTCTTTTTTTTCATCAAGGACCAAAAAAGAATAAACTTAATAATTAATTTTAATCTCGAAAAACATCGGTGAAACCGATTGTTCGTCATTGGCGAGAAACAACTACGTGCCGCGCGAAGTTTCGCAATATATGTAATTTAATTTATTCGCAAAGCCGTGTTTGTTTACGGATTGTTTTCTCGAGCGTATATATATACGGCTTTACCAAAACAACTTCAGTCTTTGGAGAGACTATCGAGACCTTTTTAATACACAGACATTTTCTGTCAATAAAAAAAAAAAAAAAAAGACGGCTCAGACAAGTCTGTCATGTAAAAAAAGAAAACGAACGCTTCGACGTAAAACGATATTCAATATTTCACTGTGTCTCTGAGACTTCGGATAAGACTTTCGCTGTAATCATACTCGGAGCGATTGCAATTGATATACATGACCACGGGATATAAAGAAAAGTCACGTCGAAGCATCGAGACGCTCAACAATCTGTTCGCCAACGTCGGACCTTCGAACAAAATGGCATCTTCTTCTTGCCATCAACGATCGATACGATAGCATCGTGGATGCAATTAACTTCATAAAATCGCGAAAAGAAAAAACGACAATTGGAGAGTCTAGAATGAGCAGCGATAAAAATCATCGATCGCAGACCAACTACTAGTGCAATATATATGTGTATATATATATATATGTATATATATATATATACGACTGTTACGTAATAGCTTAAAAATAACTTTTGTTTATTTATCTTTTACTTGACGGAAATAGAGTGCACTCGTTTCTCTTTCGAAAGAAAATACCTTTAGTGTAAAACAAATATTTTCGCTTGTAATTTCGTTTTTTTTTTTTTTAAGGAGAGTTTTTTATCTATTTATTTAGTTACTTAGTTACGTAAAAAAGCGTTGATCTCTCGAAATGTGCAATTGACTCGGAAAAGAGTATGTGAGTTACACACTTCAAAATGAAGTGTATCACGACGACGTGTTGCTTTACATTGGTTTGGTAATATTTCGAACACGATGGCCGGGACTTTAGAATGGGATTGATCTGTTGTGCGTTTAAAAAAAAGAGCTCCGTGTATACGATTTTTGTCGGGATCTTTGGCGTAACACACGCGGGTACTCGTGGAAAGTTTTCATCAACATTTCACGTAAACTGGACCACCTGTTGAATGCAGAAATGACCATTCGGTGGCAAAAGGGTCGGTCGTACTGCTCCCCTGAATTATGGAACACATCATTTTCTCGGTTGTTAAAAGCGCGAGCAGCGTGGGGAGGGGGAGGGTGGGAAAATCGCGGTCAACTGCAACGTCTCGACTAAGTTTATCAGTGAGTTTTGTTTGTTTGCAAAATTTTTGAATCCAAACCAAAGAGGTGCAACAAAAAACTTTGTAATCTCTGTGTGTGACAGGGATGATTCGTAATTTCTGTGTGTAACAGAAATGAACAATTTGCTTTGGATTAATTGCTTTGAAGTAAACAATCTTATAGATTGAATTTAAAAAAAAAGTCACAGTAGTAAGAGTCTTCAGTTCCTAATTGAATTTAAAAAAGAGTCACATAGTAAGAGTCTTCAGTTCCTAATACGATAAAGTTAGAAGATTCCTTTTCTTTTACGAGTCTTTGTTTTATCGTACATGTTTACATCGTTACCAAAGTTAACAAAGTTTTACATAAAAATAATAACTTATTGTGTACATATATATAGTAGCAGTAGTATTTATAGTTATTAATATTTTTTACAACTAAATATACAAATCTTTTTTTAAAAAAAATAAGAAGATATCAAATAGCGTGTTTACGTTTTATCAAACAATATATTGCTCAATTTATTTATTTGTTTTGCAAACAAAATATAATAAGTTTCCTCTTTCTCTCAGTTTTTTCTCGTCTAGAATGTTTAGTTTTTAATAATTTTTTTTTTTTGTTTTTTTAAAGTAAGATAAAAGCGAGCAACGAGTGCACGTATAATTACAAAACAGCTAAAGAGCGTGATAAAGAAAAGCTGCGCCAGGGTTTCAAGGATATATTTCTGCGTAAAAAAAAAAGGCTCGAGTAAGAAGAAAAACAAAGCGAAAAGATTGCACACGCGTTCTGCAGACAGTGCAATTTACAAGATGTATCAAAGATCTGACCAAAAAGATGAGAAAAGAAGCGGGAACGAACCGGAATTAACGGGAAGAGAGAAAAAAAAAGTACTTACGATTCTAGTCAACAAGTTGCGCGCTTGAATTACATCCCTTTTATCTTAGTTGCCTAAGGCTGTTGCATATAATATCTGTAAGTGAGGAGGAAACCGCGCTTATATTTTCTCATATCGTATATACATATATATATATATATACATAATCTTACCTTATACTTTCTTCCTTACACTGTTTAGAACGTTTCTAGTATAACTTAGAGATATTTTGGTACGATAAATTCTATGAGAGACTGCGAGAAAAAGATAGAACAGAAGGGATTAATTACACTTAATTACTTAAACGTGCAGTAGAGCGAGCGTGCTCCATGAAGCGACTTACCGTTAATGAGATTTCATCCCAGTGAGTGAGTGAAAGAGAGATAGAGAGAGAATTTTAGTAATTTTAGTTAGTACAAAAGATGTCAACACCAAAAAGGAAATAACGCGTGTAGGATTTTTTGAATCACTTTTGACGTTTTCGGCGAAGTTGTTGCGTAAAAGCGCAGCGATAAAAACGGGATGAGAAATTGACGTTTTTTTTGCGAAAGTCTCCTACTTACGTATCATTTTCCCTCCTCCTTGCGACGAACAGATAACACAGTCGAGATGCACTGAAATATATAATGTTTGATGTGAGACGTGCGGAATAAAATATCATCGACGCGCATTATACTATTACTGCTAAAAAGAAAAAAAAACAAATAAAACAATTGATCTAACGACCAAAAAAAAAAAAAAAAAAAAAAAAATGACAATAAATAGATATACAAAGCTAGACCTTTTTTTCTTTTGAATAGCAAACTGCATGAAGAGATAAACGGCAAAAAGTTTGCAGAAATTACTTTTTCCTAAACGAGCTTAAATGTTTTTGTAATTGATAATTGCAATTTTTTGTTTCGGCGTTTTACTCGTGTTTCATTGTATCTCGATCGTCTCGCAAAAAATTAGAGATGGTGTATTCTTACGAGAAATAAATCACGAAATGTACGTGTAGCTCTGCAACTTGACCACACGCGTTTCACGTGATATTTGAGATTAACTATATAGATATACTTTGTCTCTTATATACTGTAATACAATACACTCGACAGTCAATCGAATCTGCAATTAATAGAAATAACTCGTAAACGGTAGTCAATAATAAAGGAAGAGTGCTGGAGAAGATGTGATCAGAAGCGATTCGCGATTGTGTGTCCTAGTTGGGATGCCAAGTAAGTTCCGTCGAGGATACGTGAACACACACACACACACACACACACACACATCGTGGCACAGTTTACAGTAGTTTTAGTATCGCGCGAACAAGAAGGGTGACAAGAAGTGAAACAATGTTCGTGGCACGATTTCGCGGATATTGTGGGTGATGTGGTGTAGCGTGTGGAGGGATAGCAAAACAGTTTTTCAATTTAAAACTTGGCAATCCAGCCCGCGCGAAACATATCCATCTATTTCCATTGCCGAAACTTGTGAAATCGATATTTCGCAACTAAAAATATGAATTTCTCAATTGTTGTTATTCTTTTTTGACAAATGTGAAAATATATATTGATTTGTTTTTATTCGCATAAAAATAGCAAACTCTTGCCACGAACTCGACTCGGTTTGTCAACGGAAATTATATAACTCAAAAACTAGGAACAAAAAAAAATGAACGAACGAAATGTAACAAAGAATAAAAATGTGCGAATTGTCGAGAGAGCATAAGATCGCAAAACTACTTGAACTGATAATTTGTAAGTATGCGAAATAAGACGGGCAGTGCAATTACACTATTTTTTAAATATGTAAGCGATATTTAAGCCAGGCTCCAGGACGATCATGCCTCATACCGTTTCTCACTCTGAAGAGAAATTCTATTGTTTGTAAAACTGAGTGAAAACGACACCGACTTCGCAATTGGGCGTATTCGTCCTTGGCAGTTTTTGTTTCACAAGAATATAGATTAATCCTTATTTGAGCAATTTTTATCGCAAGAGTGTGTGAAAGATAAAGAAAACTTATGTAGCATATATTATTAACTGTACATATTTGTATACATATCTAAAGCGTGTGTAAATTTATTTGATTATTTATTTATGTATTTATTTTATATGTACATATTTTTTTTATATATTTTATGTATATATATTTATTTGTATACGTATTTGTCATAAATATTTGTTTTTTACCATTTTTTAAAATACAAATAATCTAACATTTATTTCAGAAATTAAGTTTGTTTCATCAGGTTTTATCGAGAAATTGATAAATCGACTCCTTTTGCTCAGATAAGAATTAATAACTATTTTATAAGTTTTACTCTTTACAAAACTCACACGTGCGTGTTTGTTGGTCGTTCTCAATATCTATGTCGTAATAATTAAGCGGAAAGAATTATTCGTGGTCTCATATTTGTATCTCAATCTGATACTTTGCAGTTAAAACTGTCATTTTTTACAATACCCCAAGGGATTATACGTCAAGTGTGTCAAATATGAAGACTCACACACACACACACACACACACACACACACACACACCCGATAGGAAAATTATTCGCAAGCAACAATAACATGCAACACGCATGAAAGAAAGAACTGAATGGTCGCACATTTAAAAATAAAGACTCCCAATTAAAGAGGACCAAGCTAAACCGTTTCTATGCCGCTCACACGGCGAATTTAACCGTCGTAGTATATATCATTCTCGAGGTGATAAGAATCGTCAATATGTGTAACGATAGAGAAGAGAAATCTCACTCTCAACCAACTGAATGTTATTATATCGAAGATACAAAAAAAAAAAAAAAAAAGAGAACAACGAAAATGTGACAAGCATTGTACACGTAAATATAAATATAATATACTTAGGCTATACATGTAGATAAACAAAAAAAAAAAAAAAACTATATATGTATGTACGCGTTCGTATGTGTTGATCTGTGGAATCACAATTGAGAAAAATTTGAGAATCTTTAATGATTTTTATCGATTCTTTTGATTTAATTTAAACAATAACGACGTTGTACGTTTTTTATATATATTCACCGCCACTTGTGAATAGACTTTGTAAGATCTACCCTCTCACTGCGTTTCGGCGAGAAATAAGATGCATTTTTGCGCGATGTTGATAAACTCGCTTGATAACAAATATTATACACAACACATTGACTTCCATCGACCGGAGAAACTTTCGAATCGATATATATACGTACCAATTGCTGTCTATACGTGTTTATTGCTGAAGAGAAAATTTTTAATCACAATGAGACGAGAAAATTTCTAGCAATTTTTTACGCGATTGGCATATTTCTCGAATTATTGCGATTAACAAACAGAAGGAGAAAGAGAGAACAATAAAAAGAAAAAAACGTAAGTCGCGGTAGTCAATGTGTGTTGAGAAAATTATATAAATAAAATCGTTTCGCATACACACACACACACACACACACACACATTCATACGTACACGTGTACACAAATTCACGGAGAAGCAGGCATGATCACCGCTAAACCTGGCTTTTCGAGAGAGAGAAAAAAAGAAACAAAAAAAAAACGGAGAAAACGGAGGGGGTAAAGAAAAAGTGAGAAAAAGGGGCGCAAGGAAATATAGCGTTTAGATTAGTGTGATACAAGGTACGAAAAAGCAATACTTTAGTGATTGTACGATATACTTGATTAGTGAATTAGTGTTAAAGGTTAACAATACTTTCGAAATCTATAAAATATTTACTCGATAAATCGTATAGTTTTGTAGAAACGCTGGGAAGATTGCCATTTCAGATTAACACTGTCTTGGGATCAAAGATTAAAAAAAAATAAATAAAATAAAATAAAAAGAAAAAAAAGAAAAAAAATTTAGTCGTCGGAAGCGAACAGGTGAGAGCCGCGATATAATCCTCATTGAAGATTCGCAAAGATCTTTTTCTTTCGAATAGAAAAAAAAAAAAAAAAAAAAAAAAAAAAAAAAAAAAAAAAAAAAAAAAACGAACAAGTTTTCACGTTAAGAAGCAAACGAAAACTGAAAAAAAAAAAAAAAAGAACAGACCGGTATTTACACAGGCCAATCTTGTATTTAACAGGCCGTCTCAAGTTCCATCTTAAGAGATTAAGATTCAGCATTCATTAAGATGCTGTACAGGGGACCGTCTCTTTGGCTAGCACATCATCTTAGGATAAACTTAAGACGATCTTACAAGACCCGACTATGAATATGCCGGCTGCGGTTCTGTTTCAACAGTACAAGTATGTTGTTATCGCGTTTTTACAACGGGATGAGTTTCGTACCACGTAATTGTTTTAAATGTACATGTTATTTGAAACAAACACATCGCCTGAAAATTTCGATAAAACGCATCGTAACACTATTGTCATTAGGAAAAGAATATAAATCTTGTATCAGAGGTGCCAAATTTACGTAAATGAAACGCAAATACCGAAAGAAAAAGATTTTGAAAAAAAAAAAACAGGAAAAAATGTTCACACACGGATTTGTATCCGAACACGATAATCTTATATCGCAGTGCAGCTTGTATCGCTTGTGATTAATAGTTCAAAACGTTCATTTATCCTCACATTATCCTTGTTGATTATACTCTATGTAAAATAAAAAGTTGTCACTTATAATAGACGAGACTGAAAATGAAATGAACACAAGAGTAATGTGTGTTTTTTATTTCATTATTTCTTAATATATCTCTTTAGAATGATAAGATCCGTTCAACAACCATTCAAAAACGATAAAATTGTGTATGTATGTATAAAACGGTTTAATAAACTTTGAAATTTTCTTTGTGACAGTGTTATCATGAAAAAAAAAAAAAAAGACACTAGAAGAAATCCACACATGTGAGAGTTCTTTGTGTATTGATAAAAACATTTTGTCTGATCTTCCTTGCATCACAAGTATGTTTTTCACTGTAAAAAAAAAAAAAAACACAAGAATCCGCAGACGTCGGAAACCCATGCAACATTGTAACACATTTGTGAAGTATGTAAAAGTAAAAATTTTTTGAAGAAAAAAAACAAAAATCTGTTTTTTCAATTTGACAGAACGCGAAGTAACTCTTCAAAGTTTACAAAAAAAATATACACACAAGATTTTGTTTTTACTAGCAAACGGTTTGATGTAAAATTATGAAACTTTCGCTGATACGTGAATATTGATTTCTAGTGTAATTATCGTTTTTTTTTTCTTTAATATAACGACTGGAATAAATACATGAGACACATTTGGAAATATGCGCTAAAAAAAAAAACGTTGTTTCTTTGCGACAGCGGAATAAAAAAACAATTGACAAAATGTTCTTCCAATTGAAAACGCTGCGAGCAAACGGCTGAAACTAATCAGAACAAAAGAAAAAGAATAGAAAGAAATAAAAATTTTTATCGAATAAACACAACAAAAAATATCGCAAATTAATACTAGTTAATTTTCAGATTAGCTTTCACCACACACACAGATGCTTTATGTTTTATTTTAACTCTATTCTCAATTATATATGAAATAATATTTAAAAAAAAAAAACAAATCACACACACACCGAATCAGATAACATGTTGTACAGAGTTGCTGTTTACAAAGAAAAAACCGGTTAAACTAATAATAATAAATCCAAATATTGTTGTGACGTCAGAAGTTGATATTACGATTCGATATAAACTGTTTGTGTCAAACCGATCAACATCAGCGCGCGTATGTGTGTACTGAGCGGATTTACATATCCGTTAAAAATCCCATGTACAAAGTGGTGCAGTGATAAAAACGAACTTGCCAATTTTGGTACAATGTAACACCAAATTTCAAACTTAAAAAAAAAAAAAAAAAAAAACATACACATCGCGCGTACACTTTTTAAATGTCAAACCAAACTTTGTTATAGTCATTTACAACGCCGTGTCGTGTTGGATCTGTACACATACATCCACAACCGCCGTTATATTACCTATAGATAGAATCGATACGGAGCGCCGATTGATCTTTCGAAGAAGGCTATCGGTGTTTAGCATCTTCAAAAAACATTTTTTGTAGATTCAGTACCTGTCACGAGAACAATTTCACACTGACGTGCGAATATTTGTTTAATCTAGTTGGAAAAAGAAGAAAATCACATACACACGCGATTCACATACATGCCAGACAAAGAGAGTCTGGAGAACGTTCTACTATGTCGAACGTACTCAACACTTTAAAGATGTTTTTCTTTTCAACTTTTACGTGTTGTTTGATGGATCTCCACACATAACGACACAGTACGCGTTATTACGAAAATTTCTATATTTTTGCTAAAATTCTCCAACTTAATCGCCAGAGTCATTATTTCACGCATCAGGTGCTGAATCGAGCACGCGGTAGAGCGCGCGAAGAGATTATTCGCTTCAATCGCTACAGAAATGTAAAGTAAAAATGTTTTACGGGTGACAACCACATTCACGACCAATATACCAGTGAACTACGAATAAAATGGCGAATACCTTTTACAAATTTTTCGTAGCTCTTATTATATATAAAATATATGTATATATATATAAATATATATATATATATATATATGTATATATATAGCCGCGACGCTCCGTCGTCACGGTACGGACAAAAGCAATTTTACATACATATATATTTACAGCGGTGTGCAATAAGCACAGCACATCAGACATAAAATTAATTCGTACCCACGTAATGTAATGCAAAAGTCGATCGTGTTACTCCGACACATGTTTCTTATTAATAAATTAACCTTAAATATGAATTAGACAAACAATTATATATAAATTTATTCGATTCCGCACCGTAATCCTTGAATTCTCCCGAAACAATTTTTCCTTTAAAATTCTTCATATAAATTGTTTCCTTTATAAAAAGAAAATTCAAGATTAATCACTCGCCGTTCTTAAAATGACAAAATTATATCGAGTTTTTACATAAATGTTCGTCCGAAAAACGTGAAAGAAAAATAATATCAAATTTGTTTCAAACAAAAATGTGTCTTTAATAATTATGTACAAAACATTGACAAAGTATATGATGTAGATTTATTACACAACACAAGAGATCTCTCGAAATCCCTATGCTTCGAAGCATAATTTTGATATCATTTACAATGACATCGCTTGATATCTATTATTTACAATACTGTTTCTAATTGATGATAAACAAAGACAAATCCAGCGTGGGAAGAAATTTGTGTGCAATGTAAATTTAATAATTACATATAAAGTTTCACGTCAAATTGATGATAAGTTCATGTTTCATCGCGTTCATGTTACGATCGCTTATGCAGCCGAATATATTGTTATCTAAGATATCCGTGAACAGATTAATGATATATTTTTGTTTCAAACTATTATACAAAGCACTTGAGACACTAAAATATTACAATTACAGTCGTTGTTACGGTTGTTGTTTGCTCTCGGAGGCCACTTTGGAAGGCTGCGCTGGCGCTTCGCTTGTTTCTTCCTTCGGTTTGTTCCATTCCTTCAAACCTTCCGGTAATGTAGTATCTTCCTCAAACGAACCTGTGCCTTCGACAAATTCTTCGTAAGTTGATTTTTCGCGGAAAGGTCGAGGTCCGAGCAATTCGACCATGTCGTTCCTACTTAAAATCTCTTGCTTTAACAATCGCTCGGCAACCTGAAATTCAGAGAAATTTGTGTTTCAGTTCTCGTTTTAGCGAACTATATACCTCAATCATATAAAAAAAAAAAAAAATTATTAAACCGCTTTTACCTTGATTACATCTTCTTTATGTTTGTTCAGAAGATCTTGCGTTCGTTTGTGTGCTTTATCGATTAAGTCTCGAACTTCATTGTCAATAAGTTGAGCGGTGTATTCGGAATACGGTTTGTCAAAAGCCATGTCGCCAGGTTTCGGTACTTGAAAACTGACATTTCCAACTTTCTCATTCATGCCGTACTGTGTAATTTGTGCATACGCAATTTCTGTAATCTTCAAAAATGATAAAATTTATATTAAAACACTTGAAAAATATGAGTAATTTATATGCGCGTAAAAATATGTATACGCAATTTTATAGTAATAATAATACTTTTTGCAAATCGTCCTGAGCGCCTGTAGTTATGCGACCGAAGAAGATTTCTTCCGACACTCGTCCACCGAGCGTCATGCACATCCGATCGAATAACTGTTCCTTCGTGTAAAGATACTGTTCACGAGGTAAATACTGGGCGTATCCTAATCCTTTACCGCGTGGAATAATGGACACCTTAAGAAAATAGAGATTCGATGACGTTTACAATTTCAAAACGTAGACAAAAATACGATACCTTCAAAAGTGGATCCGCGTACTCCAAGAACCAGCCTGCTATCGCATGACCGGCTTCGTGGTACGCGACCGTTTTTTTTTCCTCAGGTTGCAACACATTCGTCTTTTTCTCCATACCAGCAACTACTCTCTCGATAGCCTGCTCGAAATTTTTAAGTTGAATATTATCGTTCAAATCTCTTGCCGCTATTAAAGCCGCTTCGTTGCAAACGTTCGCGATGTCAGCTCCTAAAATAATCTACATATATAAACGTTCTGACAGTTTTTGTCTAGTTTTCATTTTATTTTATCTAAACTTTTGTTGTTTTTGTCTAATCTCAGTTTTTTTTTTCAAACACACTATATAATTACGTACGTACCTGTAAAACCAGGAGTCAACGAAGCCATCTTTCTTGCCAACTGGTCTTTATCTAACATTGTTTTCAAAGGAGCTAAATGCACTTTGAAAATTGACGCCCGTCCTTTAATATCAGGCGCGGGCACATATATTTGTCTATCGAATCTTCCAGGTCTTAGCAATGCTTTGTCTAAAATATCTATTCTGTTAGTCGCCGCTAATACGACAACATTAGTCGTTGTATTAAATCCTTAAAGAAATTCATCAATCGTTAAACATTGTTCACTGGTTTCGGTTTCTTAGATTTTCAAGAGCTATAGTTGTGTCTCGTGCCGTGTTTACGTAACCAAAAATACGACGTACCATCCAATTCTACCAAAAGCTGATTTAATGTATTTTCTTGCTCAGAGTGTCCCCCAAAGTTTCGACCTCCCCTCTTTCGTCCTACCGCGTCGATCTCATCGATAAACAATATACACGGTGCATGTTTTCGTGCCATAGAGAACATATCGCGCACCCTAGAAGGACCGACACCGACGAACATCTCCAAAAATTCTGAACCCGATACCGTAATAAAGGGTACGTTCGCTTCACCGGCTGTTGCTTTAGCTAACAAAGTTTTACCAGTCCCAGGTGGTCCTATAAAAAAAAAAAAAAACAAACGTTTCTTCTAGATTTACATTAATATTTTAGATATGAAAGTCATTTTATATAAATTTACCTGTTAACATTGCACCTTTTGGAATTTTAGCTCCAAGATCTATATATTGTTGTGGATTCTTCAGGAAGTTTACAAACTCCATAATTTCGATCTTAGCTTCTTCGCAACCAGCCACATCTCTAATATATATTTGGCGCATAAGTTTAATAAATCACAAGCACATTATACGTATACTTAAAATTAACATATATTTATTACTTACTTAAATCGTACACCAATATCTTTTGAATTTATTAATTTTGCAGTCGATTCCATTACCGCACCAAAGAGTCCTCCTCTCTTACCTGACTTACCAGTCATCGCTTCTGCGGATCTTCGAAGTAAATAAAATAGGAAACCTGTATATATTTGGTCGGATTATATATATAATATGCACGCAACAAATAAAAAACTTATCTATTATAATTTTCGAAAACTAAACATAGTTGGTATACCAGTAATTACTACTTACCCCACATGAGAATTTGTGGCAGATACGACAATATGTTTATGCTTTCTATTTCATTTTTGTAAATTACAGGAATATAATTTTCAGGTCCCATATTTAATTCTAGTTGTGCATTTTCTAAATTTCTTTCAAAAGTATCTGTACTTCCAATGTTAAACCATAATGTATCCTATAAAAAATATAACATGATAAGCATTATATTATTAAATTCCATTTGAAAAACCAGGATAACTTCATAACACACTGAACGTAAAGGACACCTACAGAACCGTCCACAGTATTTCCAGGTAAGAGCCTCACACGCACCCATTTTTTATTTACAACTTCTAACTTCTCAACAATACCCTTACTTAAGTAACTGAAACAAGAGATATAAGTAGCGTGATATATAGTACAAGTATAAATAAATTTGTGTATGTGGTTTACAAATATGTACTTATTTGCTTTATCAAAAACATATTAATATAATTATCAGGGATCTACAAAAATTGCTTACTTATATGTGAATTCTCTCCATGTTATCTCTCTCTGATTGTAATCCTGGGACAGTACATATGCAAGCACACCAGTTACACTAAGTGCTCCCAAAATTATAAATGTTTTGTCCTTGTCACCGCCTTCAAATGATTTACCTCCTCGTGACTTGTCTCCAAAAATCTTAAATGTCCATTGAAAGCCTGAATCTTTGGAGCTAGATGATGAGGTAGATGAAGATGAAGATGAAGATGAAGATGAAGAAGGTTTCTGTGTACTAGTTTTTTTACTTGATGCTTCTTCTGCTTTTTTTGCAGCATTTTCAGCATTTTTTGTTTCACCTGTAAACACAGTAGATATCAAGTTTTAAGAACTATATATAAATTATAACAAGAATAAAACAAAATAAATATTTAAGAACCTGGTTTGAAGAATTTTTCAAATCCTTTAGGTGGCTCTTTACAAAATAATCTCCATTTTTGTTGCAATTGCTCAAGTACTGAAAATGTTGTTCTATTTTTTAGTAGACTTAAGTGTCGCCTTAGCTGAAAAATGTACTTCAACTGATTAATCAAATCTCTTATCACTTTATTGACAAAAAATAGAAAAATAACAAGAATTATGTTTTTACAATATTACAATTATAATATATTTATGATATATTTTAACAATATTACAATATTACAATTATAATATATACAAAATTGCGACAAATTAGCAAATGAAAAATACAAAAAAAATATAAAAACAAGCAAACAAAAAATTTTCTTTTCTAACCATAACTATACGGTGAAGTGTATCAGATAAATTATATTGAACAAATTCACACAAAATGTTTGCAACACGACATAAGACATCGAGATCGTACAATTGCATGATGAAACAATGAGTGGTCATTATTGTCCTTTTCGTAGAAACATTGCAATTATTTTTACAAACGTGTGATGCCACAATTGCACCATATTAGATCAGACGTAGATGTCAGAGGTTATGATACCTGAAATGTGTCGAAATAACCTTTCTGTGTAGACTTCAGAATTAGCCGTTCCAGGTTGCTGGTCGACGACAGCAATTGATACGCCATATTTTTGATAAACCACACTAATTACTACACAAAGATCCGTTGAAAATTGATGTCTTCTTTCTTATTTTGTCACAAAATCTCACAATACACTACCGGCCGCCAGAAACCATCTCGGTTTGTGCGGTTCTTATAGATTTTCGGTACTGTTCGGTACTGTGACAGTGAATAACGAGTCGCAACGCGAAAGCAATGTTCTTCTCCCACCACCATCTTACCAAGCAATAGGAAACTTTGGCTTCAGCGGAACAAACTGAAATGCAGCAATCGAACGTTGGCTCTTACTTTTAGAACCGACCAATCAACGTCGAGTGTTGACAAGACGACAACTCGGCACGTTCTGCTTTAAACTCTTTCAAATGCGCGCGCGTATGGCTACTTCCGGTCACTTGCATGTCACGTGATCTATTGTAGTTCTAGGAGATATCTTCAGGTGGCGCTAAAAAGTCATCGTTGTGATGTGTGACGTTCTCTTCGATTCTCTTCCTCTTTTGTATAAATCATCATGGAAAACCGATCAATTTCAAAAAAGCGAAAGGTAAGGCGATTTTTCTTTATTTATAATAAATACTATGCGAAAATATGTTATTGTCGAGGTGTCGAAAACTGTCGGGATGATGTTTGATTGAAAATTGCTCAAGTATATTTGTCGCAAAGTGGAGATGACGCTCGATGTTTCTAGCGTCAATCTTCCATATAGAACTCAATCCGTTCCACGTGTCTCGTTTCACATGTATTTAGATTTGAGGAAATCTCGTTGAGAGAACGTCCGGTGCGCGTTTCAGTTTTCTATTTCACGTCTTTGCGATCCGTATTCAATAGCGCTTTGATTTCTGTATTGCAATGTAATCAGAAATTTTGAGGTTATATCAATCTGTATCGATAGACCTGTTTTTAGCTGAACTTCTTGCACAGCAACGTCTTGTTTATCTTTTTTTGACCTCATTTCCAAGAAAAAAAGAGGAAAGATAAATAGTGTACGAGGTTCAGTCAAAAAGAACAGGTTTAATTGTACAAGTATGTGTGTGTGTGTGTGTGTGTACACATGTATGTACATAATTAAAAGTATACAAGCTTGTATCACAATTCTGTATGACAAATATGTGCAATAAGAAGCACTTGTAAATATAATTTCCCATAAAAATAAGTTGTGTTTCATAACAGGGCACAAAAGACTTACTCTAAATTTACAAATTGTTACTTTTTTTTCAGTTTGTAGGAGACGGTGTCTTCAGAGCAGAACTGAATGAGTTTCTGACTCGTGAACTCGCCGAGGATGGATACTCTGGTGTGGAAGTACGTGTGACTCCGAATCGCACAGAAATTATTTTATTGGCTACTCACACACAGAGTGTACTCGGTGAAAAAGGACGTCGAATCAGAGAATTAACATCTGTGGTACAAAAACGTTTCAACTTCAAAGAACCTCAGAATGTCGAGTTGTATGCAGAAAAAGTTGCTACAAGAGGCTTGTGCGCCATTGCACAGGCTGAGTCTCTGCGATATAAGCTGATTGGAGGCCTCGCCGTGCGAAGGTAATAACTTGCTTATTTTCTGATTTTTTTATTTGTGTATTTTAAGTATAATTCTTCATAATCTTTAAATGTATCATTTGCTCAATTACGTTCAGAGCGTGTTACGGTGTTCTGCGCTTTATCATGGAATCGGGTGCCAAGGGCTGTGAGGTTGTTGTTAGCGGAAAATTACGTGGTCAGAGAGCGAAGTCGATGAAGTTCGTTGACGGTCTCATGATTCATTCTGGTGAACCTACAAATGAATACGTGAACACTGCTACGCGACACGTGCTTCTTCGACAAGGTACGATTGCTTTTTATAATAATGCAGTATTAATAATAACCCATTTCTAAAATTGTAAAAATAATCAATAAACGAAACAAGTGATATTTATCAAAGTTATTAAACATATTTTGAAAACATTTACAATTTTAGGTGTATTAGGGATCAAGGTAAAAATTATGTTGCCTTGGGATCCCAATGGTAAGAGTGGTCCAAAGAAGCCTCTACCGGATTACGTATCAATCGTAGAACCAAAAGAGGAACAACCACCGTCGGTCCCAATTTCTGAGGTAAAACCATCAAAAGACATACCTCAACAACCTACTCCGCTTCCTGTGTAACAATCGTTTGAATAAAAAAGGTAAATAGAGAAAAGATTCCAGTTTCTTATTTTATTCTCTTGAATCTCTACTTCCTGAAACATGTGTTTTGAAAAAATAGACCAGTAAATAGTTTTACAATTTATTTAAAACAAAAACACTCTCTTGTGTATTGAAAAATTAATAAATTTTCTGATTGTGCTCCACATTGGTACTAGTACGAATAACCATTTTTGTTCATAGAATCGGTTTGAAATACACCTTGTACAGATAAACATATAATACAGAAAACAATCATTCATGTACAATTTGCTATACTTAATTTGATGCGTTTCGATTCTTAAAGACAGATTAATCAACTATCAGTTTTTTCGTAGTGAAAAGATTAAAACCTAACGAATGCTCGAATGAATGTAAAGTAGAAAGCAGACAAAATTACATTACAGAAAAAAAAATAATTTCAATTGACAAATATGTGACAAAATATGACACATCAAGTTGATTACTCCAAAGATATATCTACATCATTTCTGAACTTGATAATCCTTTTCTCTTATAGATCGATAATAATAAAATTATTATTAATTTTACAAGTTAAATATATTACGCACATACCTGATACCACAAGACCAAACCCTGTCATACACCATTACCTACTTGTTACGATTTATTAGATTGAACAATATTCAAAACTAGATATTTACTATATGTGCATTTACTTTTTTTTTTTTTTTTTTTTTCTTAAATCTAACGAGACTCGAAGTATTCTGAAAAATAGACAACCAAATATCCTAAACGACTTGTAAAAAATCTTTTAAACCTTTTGTGAATTGCGATCGAATGCAAGATTACGAGTTTCGCTGCAGATTTTTGCCATACAAATGAGTATATATAATTAGTAATATAAGAAACACCATCCACATACACTTTGATACCTTCTTGTCACAGATATTCAAAAAACTTATTGCGTATTTAATAATAAATTTTGACATCGGCACTCACATCTTTTGCGCTAATACGAATTTATGAAAGTGTCACTGTGTGGACCCTAGAACCCTAGGAGATCTGTCTTAAGAAAAAATGAGAAAGAACTTAAACTTAATTATCGTGAATATATTATTGGCGCATGGGTGCCATTTGTTGGGTGAGAGTGAGCAGAACTTCGATCATTCTTCGAACAATATCCGGTACTCCTTGTTTCTTCGAAACCGAGCTCAATCCGTTTCTGAGCTCGTAGAATACATTGCGTGTAAATGGATTCCTTTGCGACGCGAGACGCAGTTTCAAGAACTGAAAATAGATGAACGGCGTCAGCAAACCGACGCGTCCTCTGCAAAACAAAAATTATAAAATTAAATGTTTATCGTATCGATTATTAAATGTTTACGTATATAGCTAAACAAAAACAAAGGTTACGACAATTTTATATGTACGTACGTGAATACCAGAACAGCCGTGAACGGCAAGATAATAATCTCAGATAAAGCAATAAGCCGAAGGATGTTTCGCGATTGAAATTCCACCAGAGATATTAACAGTCGGGCACCCCACCAACTATTGTGACCTAAACACTGCGTAAAAACAGGTTCAACTTCCAGTTTCATAATGACTATGCAAATATAGTGTATACTTTTGCTTTAAATAATATGTAATTAGCATTAGTACCAGTTCTTTTTATACTTACATCTAGCAACGTGAGAGAGTAACTGGCGAAGTGCATAATAGCAAACAAGAAAACTGGTGTGAGCACCACTATGTATATCAGTTCAGGATATAAATATTTTATTATCTTATATTATTGCTTTTTTAGAAAACTTTAAATAGACTTGAAAAGGATACGTGTAACTGGCGCCCCATAGAAAAAAATGAACGAGTAAAACAAGTAGTGGCACGAATCTTCCAATAATAATGTCTCTAAAAATTGCCTAGTGAGTTGAACACGAGGTACCCTTTGGTGAAGACGTAAAGCACTGGTAGCTGCATTATTCATTAATGCCTTATAGTATATGTTGTAAGGATTGCTGAAAAAGTGATAAGATGTATTTTTACAATATATATATATATATATATATATATATATATATATATATATATATACATTCGGCAAATGATTGTGACTACAATTTATAACAAGTTATCATTGTATCAGTCTTTTGGTCGCAAAGAAACTTACCCAAATATAGGAATTACGTAACCAAGTGTGAATATGATGGTGAAAAGTCTTGTGACCCATAAACCGAATTTAATTTTGTTTTCCGTTATATGTTGTTTCAAGGCAAGCCATCCTCTTTCGACTTGTGGTGACGAGTCGCTTGAACCACTGCTCATGTCTTCCGCCATACTAAAAAACCAATAACAATATTTTTGAATATATCTGATACAGAGATAAAAAAAAAAAGATATTAAGAATGAATTAACATTTAAAAACACATTAGCATCACATTCATAGAAATTAACAAACTTGTTTCATGTTATTTCTTTTTAAGGATATATTAAAATTCTTAAGATTGAAGGATAACTTATGTAAATTTTTATGTAAATTGTATGCAAAATTATTGTAACACAAAATCTATACTGTGTATAAGTGCGTAAGATACAAATATCGCGTCAAAATCTGTGACAGCAGGCGTTTCTAAGGTGAAAGTGGAGCCACTTTCTGTGTGTCTTTTCACTTGAGAGAATCACAAATTCGAAACAGTGTCGATTTTTGTTCGCACGAAGGAAAGAAATCGAAAGGCTAATAAACATTTACTTCTATAAATTCGATTGGAGTTGCGATGTTAAAAGTATGACGCACGAAACCGTTTCTTTGCATATTGCGATCGTATTTTTCTTTTTTTTTTTTTACACGCGTAACGATACAGGTGCGCGGTTAGTTATGCGAGTTACACCGTCACTTCGATGACACTGCAAATCGCCAAGAATAAGTTTTGACGGATCCGGGTCTCGAATCGTCGACATTTAAATTTACTTACGTGTAATTTTACGTTTGCTTCGCACGTCGCACAGGATACAACAACTTCGCGTCACTACACGTCAGTACACTTTTCAGAACGCACACTTGTAAAAACTACCGCGAAGTTCCACCTATTCGTGGCATCTACGTGTCTTAACAAGTGGAACCGCGAAGCCTCAGGACTCTCGCAACATTGACAGAGAGAGACATTTATTTTTCCACAAAGGCAACAGTACGAAACCATCTAGCGAATAAAAGCCAAATAATAGGAATTTACAAACTGCCAACTTAAAACTGTGATTGCAAATATGTCTCTCGCATCAACTTGGAAAAATCGGAATCGCTCGTTTATTTGCGATTGGTTCATCTCCTACCATGTTTTTTTTTTCCCCCCCCCCCCCCATTCCGCCTGCATGTGTGTTAGTGTCCTTAAAGGTGCCATATGGGATAGATTCTTCGCGAACGCCGTGCTCACAATATCCAATCGCATTGGTTCATGTTCGACAAATCGACCAATCCGAAAATTGTAGGCCCGGTAAGTCGAGCTTGCGTTTAAAATGTCGCGTCATTTTGAACGCGCATAGTGTCAGTGCGCGAGAAATTTGCAATCAAGGAAGCGGGAAGTAAACAGGCGATGTGATCTGTACGTCAGTTTTCAGTGTTTTCACTCTTTTGCATCATTTTGGCACGTTCGCACTGTGCGAAAGATTAGATTTGTTTTTTTTTTTTTTAACCGTCTAACATGGACAAGTTGAAGGTAACAACACACAGGCCATAATAGAAAATTTTTTCTTTTTTAAACATTTCATTTCTCAACGCGCTATATTTGACAGACGGAGTTTAATGGAGAATTGTGAGGAAAATAACGAAGGAAAACACAAAATCAAGTTTTATCCTATTTACTGTAATCTTCAATAACAACCACCACACCTCTAAGATTTCAATGGGATTTGCTGCAATTGCCTCTGACTTTATTCTCTCTATGATTATCCTCAAATATGTCTTTGATTATGTCGCGCTTTGTCTTCGAGTGAGCGGGCAAACCGCGATATAAATTTTCCGTTATCTGCATTCTATTGGCCGCGTTGTGATTCTTGTATCCCTGACTCAAAAACTCGATATTCTCGTTGTCATCTATGGCTTTCATTGTGGCCAACAGTTTCTCCTTGTTGTAAGTAATCCTCTTCCTGTCATTTGTTTCTCTTGTATCCGTTACGTCAGTTTTCGCGTCGTTGCTCTCCTCGTTCAGATCATGAGACGCGAGCTTATTGTTCGACAATAATAATGCGCCAACGTCTTTCGCTTCTGACGAAACACTTAGGCTGGTTTCTGTTCCCAAACTTGTTTCATTGTTCTTTGCTGTTCCTTCGTCGACGTCGGATTGCTGTGTCGAATTTAACGTTTCTTCTTTCTTGAATGTAGAATTTTCTTTTCCCAAGTCACGCGTAGGATTATTGTACTCATCGGGACGATTTGTCACAGAATCCTTTCTACGAATTTGCTGTGTTTTTTCTTCATCCTCTTCCCGTTCTGTATTTGGCAAATTTTCCACTTCTTTGCGCGTGCTATTTGGTTTCAACATATCATTACGGATCTTGCCGTGTGACATATCGGCGTGTGTTACTGATTCATCTTCCGAATATCTCGCTTCATCTCTCGTATCTTTCTTACTAACAGTTGGAAGAGATTTATCTTCGTTACGCTCCGAAGAACGTTGATCCTCCAACCAGATTTTCTTCGCGTTTGAAGAGCGTTGCGAAACCTCTAGATTTTCGCTCGAGCGCGCGTTATCTCGAACGTTATTCGATATCCTCTGTAGCTCCGCACCCTTCAGTCTTTCGATGATAGATCGTTCTTCAATTTCTGGATTGCTGTTGTCTGTACGATTGGCGTCGTCGATAGATTTACCGGGATTTTCCTGGTCATATTTAGGTAAGATAGGAAAATCGTTGGTTTTACATTCGGCGGAGGAATCTCTATTTGCGTCCACCTTTTCGTCGGAGTCATCTTCAGAGCCACTATCGTAAAGATCTGTGATTCTATGGCGCAGTACCTTCGATTTTCTCTCGTACACGTGCTGCTCCTGAAATGCTGAATCTTTTGCCAGACGTGTATTTAACTCTTCTTCGTTTTCTTCGTCATTATTGTAATGAAAACTGTCCCTCTTGATTGTGTCATCCAATGTATCAGAGGTATCGTCCGTGCTGTTAATTAATCTAACATACATACAACAAAACGCGATTACAAAATCGAAGAATTTTTACATGAAATATACACAAAAGTATTGTGTTAAAAATAAATTTACATGGTGAAGTGGAATTTTTTTGAAAAATTATTATTTATTACATACCTCGCGTACAAATCTCTAGATTTCTGCGCAATATCTGGAATATAAGACTTAACGTGACGTTTGCTAACATTTCCTCCACTCTCTCCGTCGTCGGACGAGTATTCGAATTCGTCTCTCAAATCTTTTTGAAACTTTTGTGAATTGTGACTTTTCATTCTACTAAACAATTTTCTTAATTTGCTACTTTTGTTTTTGTCATTGTTCGACTCGTCTCTCTCTAACATTGTTTTATAGTCTACCGATAAAAAGTTTTCATTGTCTTGCGTTTCTTCCTTCTCCAAATCTTTAAATCTCGATCTTAAGTCGTCCATAGAACGAGCATTTTTGCGTATGTCTGGCGATCTTTGTAGCCGGAACTTTCGTATCTGTTGCAGGCTCGTCATTGTTTCCGATTTCAACTGATGAACTGAATGATCACTGACGTTATTCGTTGCCATTTTTTCCTCGTCATTGGATTCCAATGTATCGTATGATAGCTATACAATTATATGAAGTTCTTATCTTTTGTTAATATTTCACACACTTAGAGTTATACAATTATAATTCACTTATTCTCACCAAATTATTCTTTGACATATCGTGTTCACCTTTTTTACTCCTACTAGATGTTTTAATTGAATTGGAGATGCTGGAGAGAATATATAATGATATATTATATATAGAAGAAAAAATATCCAAAAGCTCTAGTGTAATTAAAACGTACAAAGATGTAGATAATTTTTATACCTTGTGTTTTTAAGGCTTGTAAGAGAATGGCTAACTAAATTTCTCTCTTTGATATTAATTGGTAATTGACCATTGTAATACAGTCTCTTCTCTCTATTGTCCAACAAACATTCTAAACTTTTCAATTTTTCTATTGTCTCCTGTAAGTTTTTCTGTGTTTCTTTGTGTTTACAAATCTCGATATGTAATTGATGCTTTAGACTCTTGGTTTCCAGCGCAAGCTTTCTGTGTAAAAGCTGCAAAGAAAAAGAATACAATATATATATATATATATATATTTTTTTTACACATTTTTACCGTACATTACCAAGAGGTGAAAGTTACCTGTATAGTGTCTTGTTGCTGTTGCATTTTATGATTCATGTCGGATAATTGTAACTGTAACTTTTCTCTCTCTTCGAGATGTCTATTTTTGCTAAGTTGCAATAAGTGCTTGTTTTGTGACTGAAAAATAAATCTTCTTTATATAATCCACCCCATGGCTCACCGTTACACAAAGACATGAATTGGAAAAACTCACATTTACAGTGTAAAGCTCATTTTCTTTTTCTTTCAATATGTTACAAGTATCTTTATGCAATTCTTTCAGTTTTTTGTACTTTGTTTGAAGTACTCTCAATTCTTCATGATGGGAATTTATAAGTCGTGGTAGCTCAGCATTTGTTCCCTCGTAACGTCTTAATGCAGAATCTTGTCTTTTCTGCAATGCCTTTAAGAGTCTATTTTCATTCGCTAATTCCTACGAAAAAAATTATTTTTCTAAGGAAATTATTTGTTAAAATTTTTAATTGTTATTAGTGTGATAAATATTTAATATTATAAATAAAACAAGATACTAATATGTACACTAATATTATTTCTTTTAATACTCACATTTAGATGATAGTGTGCATCAGCTAATTGATTTTGCAGCTGTTTGAAACGAAGCATTTTTGCTGACATTACTCTTTGTCCAAGAATGCTTTTTCTACTAGATTTCTGTTCATCTGACAGTGATTGCTGTTTAATGCTGCCTTTATAAGGTGCACCTATATATGCATAATATAACAAGATTTTATAAAAACTGTATTATATGCAGATATTTTTATTACATGTGTATTACATGTATATATTGTTTTTTTAATTTTTATACAAACCAGGCAAGGGGTTTAAACATTTTTTATTTGGTGAAAATAGAGTATTTCTGCAAGGAGACAGCTTCTTGGATTCTAATGTTGAAATGGGCTTTGATTTTCTATAAGATATAAATTTTAGATACCTTTCTATTGAATTTTAAATAAAAATATATTAATCCAAAAGATAAATTGTATGTACTGAACTATATAAATGTTTTTTTTTTAAATAGTAATTTTTGGATATTTGTAATAAAGAACAATTATGTATATGTATATAAGTATTGATAATTTTTAATCAAAACTCTTATAGAATTATAAATTTCTATTTATACATATCACATCTGAGAATATAAATTTTGAAATCTAATAATAGATGCAAACATGTCTGTCAGTTTGATACCGCATGTTCTCGTAGTTTTGTTTACCTAGTCAAAGTTCTATGCATATGCAATTGTACTACTGGTAAAATTGATGCTTCAGTTTGCATTGTATATTTATATGCTCATTATGATCCACATTGTAATTGCATGTAATCTATCGTTTATAGTGTGAAATTGTCAAAGAGCTGTCAAATACTCACTGCAAGCCACAGTCGGCATCCATAATTGTTTCGCACGGTTGTCAAGGCAACATCTATGCACAATAATGATCAGTTCTGTTCTTAAGCGTATATTCTCTCAAAGTTTAAATTTAAAAGATAAACTATGTTCTCAAGCATTCTTTTTTTGTAACAATATTTTTATTTGTTGTAATTTGTAATAGATATCAGAAGAGTTAATAACACATTCAAAAAATGTATTTAAAAAAACAGAAAGAAACGTTTTCTAAAAATACTGAAGTAATTCTCCCCTTCTCTTCATCTATATTATTATGTGAAAATATACATACATACAAATTATTTTAATCGCAACTTGTCTCAATTGATTAAAACAAAGAAGTAACTATCTAAAAATGTTAATGTGATACACACTTGTTTATTACTATTTGACATTATTTGGCATTGTCTAATATGTACACACACACTTGTGACTTCATAATATAAATATCTCTTTGTCTGTTCTTTTAACTTTACACATTTACATTACGCACAATTCTAAAATACTTTGACATTTTATGAAACAAATCGTTTCTGGTACACGTGTTTAAATCATAACTTATTTTCAATAAATTTCTCGAACAGCCGAGATTTTCTTTCATTGTGTAACAAATATTTTTTACCTAGATTACGTTATCTTTAATTATGTTGTTTAGCTTTGTTTCTTTCTTCTTGTTCTTGAGGTTTTTTCATACCCAAGTGTTGAGTTTCCCACAATTTGCTATATAAGGAATTTGGTGTTGACAATAAAGATTCGTGTGTGCCTCTTTCGATTAACTTGCCCTGATCTAAGACGAGTATATCATCGGCATCCATGACTGTTAATAAACGATGTGCGATCACAATTGAAGTACGTTTTTCTGTTGCCTTACGCAAGGCATCGAGTATATTCTGCAAATATACAATATTATTCAGAATGTGTAACCGTTTGTTACATAAATGTATTAAAATACGAGCAATTTCTTAAAAACTTGCATGTTCTGTAATTGAATCCAGTGAGGAAGTAGCCTCATCAAAAATTAATATGGGACTGTCCTTTAGTATCGCTCTGGCGATAGCAACTCTTTGCTTTTCCCCGCCACTTAATTTCAAACCGCGTTCTCCTACGGGTGTATCGTATCCTTGCGGCCATTTTAATATGGAATCGTGTAGATTTGCCATTTTTGCAGCTTCATAAACTTGTTCATGCGATTTTCTCAAATTACCGTAGTGTAGATTATAAAATATATTTTCATGAAAGAGTACTGTATCCTGAAATTCGTAACAAACATATTTATGTGAAACAATGTTCGTAAGCAAAATAAGTTACTTTTTGTTTACTATCAAACCAGAAGAAAAAGATATAAATTTTCAATTATACCTGTGGTACAATCGAAATACAATTTCTAAGATCTTCTAAATCGACATCTTGAATGTTGTGGCCATTAATAAGAATAGTGCCACTCTGTGGTTCAAAGAATCTGTACAATAATCTCACAATTGTCGTCTTCCTAAAATTATAGTTAATTACATGAAATATAATTTATATTAATTAAGAACTATTGTGTGTTGCGCGATTACTTATGGGTGGTACTTATTGAATTAATTAATAAATCTATATATTATATAACAATTTATGTACCTAATAGCTTACCCACAACCAGATCCGCCAACAATAGCAATCTTCTTGCCGCTTGGTATGGTGAATGATACATTTTTGAAAATAGGTTTTCCTTGAACATATTCGAAATTCACATTTTTGAACTGGATGTCTGATGAATCTGGTGTCACGAAAAATCTTAATGCATTTTCTTTTGACTGTTATAAACAAACATAAATTTTATTACTTATTTAATTTATGCGGATTATTTCATAAATGTGTAAAAGTTAAAAATTATTATTTACTTTTATTTTTGTATATGTGAAATTTTATATCTTACTTTAATACCAGCGTCTGTTGTCATGAGTGTAAACATGGTTTGCATATCGATGAAAGCCTGTCTCACTTCTCGATAGACAGAACCCAAGAATCCCAATGGAACTGAGAGTTGAAATAGCAAGGCGTTTACCATCACTAAATCACCCACAGTCATCGTACCTAAAGGCCAAACATGCGTTGATCTTTCTCTAAGTATTGAATTTGTGATACTATAATTGATAAACTAACTGCAAATAAATCTGATTTATTACCATTTATTATATTTTGCGCTGCCATTACCATGATTAGACTTAGTGCACCGCTGAAAATAGCATTTTGTCCGAAATTCAACAATGCTAAGCTCGTATTGGTCTTAAGGGATGCTGTTTCGTATTTTTTCAATGACTCATCATATCTTTCTGCTTCGAATTTTTCATTGTTGAAATACTATAGAGCACAATTGTATATTTTAATATATTTTGTCTTTTTTTTTTTACATGACGATGACTTAAGAGATTCATGTTTCTATTACTGACTTTTACTGTTTCATAATTGATGAGTGAATCTATTGCCTTGTTGCTCGCTTCGTTTTCTGCTTTATTCATGTGAATTCTGAATTTGGTACGCCATTGCGTTACACCTAATGTGAACGCAGTGTAAACACCCACACAACCCAACGCTACAGCTGAATATTCAGGACCGCATTTTATTCCCAGTATCGCACTGACCAATGCTAATTCGAAAATAGTGGGTACGATGTTAAAGACCATAGCATTTAAGACAAAATTAATACCGCGGCTGCCACGATCAATTGTCTGAAAATAAATACATGCTTAAACTTTGACATGACTTATCCCTCCGTCTCTTCACATGTGTTTTGTATTAGTATCAAATAATTTTACCTTTGATAGAGCACCGGTTTGTCTGCTCAAGTGAAAAGCCATATCGAGATTGTGCAAATGTAGAAAAACGTTTTTCGCTATTTTACGAATAGAGTGTTGCGCGACCTTCGCAAAAACCGCGTTTCTAAGCTCACTAAAACCCGCTGCTCCGGCTCGCGCTATTCCATCTGCGAAGAAAGTTGGATTCACAATTACGTAAAAAATATATCTTAAAAAATAAAAATATAATTGAAAATCCTTACATCCTATGAGTAGCGAACTTGCTACAGTTGCAACTGTCGCAGGCGCAGTTGTTAAGCTCATGACGGCACTGCCGGTGGTAGTTGCCGTGTGAGTATTTAAAACATCTACCGCGTACTTGAAAATAAATGGCACAAAAACATTTAAGACCTTGGCGCCTACAAGTAAGCCCACCGCGATTTTGACTCTTTTCCGTATCTCCGGATCGTCCTGCAAGGATAAATGTAATAAATATATTGCACCGTTTTGTATATATTTGCAAAATTTTACGTGTATTATACTCACTTCGGGCCAAATGTATCTCAGCATGGCTTTGAACATGTCAGTACTGGTGACTGACGGTTTGTCGTGTAAATCCAAGGCATCTCTGTTCAAACTGGAAACACCGGGATGAAAACAGTTCCTCTTTTGTTGTCCAGATTTTGATCCAGTTAATCCAGCGACAACCGATGTAAACTTTACTGGCGGCACAACGGATTTAGATTGTGGTATATTTTTTTTCCCCCGAGCACGGTCGATTACATTACCACTGCAACACTAGAGAATAAAGAATAGAGTTTAAAACAGTGTTATCAATATATTTCAAGAGTCATGTATTTGCAAAGTTTAACATTAAAATTGTACGATAAAGATATATACAGTACAATGTAAATTGTAAAAAATCTAGCGTGTGTGTAAAGTTTATCTTAAGAAATATTTTTAGCAATTTAGAAAAGCTATTTTTTTTTAAATATAAACCTTAATGAATAAAAGAAAAATTAATATTTTGATTACAATATTTATTATTCTCTATTATCACAATATTTTATAAAACTAACTCACTGTACACGTGACAAAAGTATATTAAACTACTTTAAGTGTATATATATATATTTTAAATATATTTTTTATACTAACAATCAGTATACTTATTACATAGATAAGAAAAATATGAAGATTTAAAATCGCTTAGATTATAATTTGTGATTTTCTAAACATATATAGTTTTATCTGTCGTTTCCATACAATATTTTGCCGTGTCTAATGCATTAATATATTCCTGAACAAGATCAATCGCAATTGAAAAGCTCTGACTTTTGAGCTTTATTGTTTTCATATTATTTAAAGCGCACGCATATTCTGCGCGTTTTAAAGTTAAGATATTTATTCCTAGCTTATTAATTGCATACAATTCATCCGAATCGAATGTTTCGCTGTACATCTTAATCCTCCAATTATCTCTTTTTACTTTTGTGCTCAATATAAATAATGTTATTGTTGCGTTGTAATTCAGACCATCGCGAGTAAACGACATGTTCTTGTGAAAATTATTGGACGTGATAAAATTCAATTTATGTCTCGAAATATCGAAACATTTTTGCACGTCGGAAAGATCGAAACAGATTTCATCCAGTGGGTTGCGTGGAATAAAAAATCCATACTCGATGTATAATTTGAGATTGTTATGCGCGCCGTAATTAATAAACACTTGCGAGTCTTCGTCGAATGGCTTTAAAGTAATTATTTGATAATACCGATTCTGGTAATCGTCCGTAATAACGGATACCTTGCAAGCCGTATTTACATCGTGATTGAATAAATCTAGAAAAGGTGCTAGAGCCAGATTATTAGGCTGTTTGACGTTAAATGTGTTTTCTTTGCATAATTTAGTATCCATATACACTGCTCTCGTATTAACCGCATAATACGCCCATTTGTATCTTGCAAATGTTATTATTGATTGTAAGCGCTTGTTACAATGAGAACAGCAACCTTTGTCGAAAGTGTCTAGATTTTTCACAGCTTTCATTAGCGAAGAAAAATTACTTTCTAATCTATGGGATCGAGATAAAGAATCCCGAATAAAATCTGGCAACATTTTCTTCTCTTTGTTTGAACAAAAATCTGGATTTGTAAAAGACTGAGGCAGAGTCTTTAGATAAAGATACCACTTCGAGTTCGTCCCCAAATGTGTTTCATAAACAAGAAACACAGACAGTACACATTGAGGACTGAAATTGTCCGTAATATTGTTTAGAAACAAAATTCTAATATCACTTTGCAACACTGTGTCTGTTGTTATCAATATATGAAGCGGCAGTTTAATTAACGGCTCATTTATTTCTACAGACTTTGATGTCTTTAAACCCCGGCCTGTGAGAGAAAATTGCTCTGGTATCAAATATCGAATTGACAAACAATTTTGACTTAGAAGCCAAGACTTTAAATGCATTAAGGATTTGTTCGTATTTTCATTCAATTTTATGAAATTGAACTTCTTCCGCTGACGTTTTCTCCGTGTTCGCCCCATTATATGACGTAGATATTATATCTGTAGAAGCAGTAACAGTAATCTTTATTATATCTCGAATCAATTACACACTTGAGTCTTTTTAAATCATAATCAATAATCAATTAGTGGCTTTTTTCTATTATAATATCTTTATATTATGTTCTCTTTTCTTTTATGTGCAAAAAAAAAAATTTGTAATATAATAATAGTTAAATATATTACCCTGACGCTGAGAAGAGAAAACGTAGAATTACGTTCGTTAACGTAAAATTTATTAAATATTAATTTTGTCGTTATATTGCTGCAATACGTTTTTCTCATCATGGTCCATAGTTTCCTGTCGTACGGTGCTTCGCGCAGTAAACGGTCGCACAGTAATCGGCTTAACATTTTGTTATTTGTTTTTTTGTTTTTTTTTTACAAAAAAGTTGAATTGTTAACTAAACATCATATATATAAAATATAAATATCACATCGCAGTGATCATGTAATCGCGACAGACCTCTTGACCATTACCTAACCTAACCTAACCATAATACAGCTGATATAGTCGAACACGTGGTACGGTCACATGACATAAGTGTACTTGTTTTTGTAAGTTTTCAATAATATTTCAGGGCCTGTTTCCATCATCGATTGTGATTGATCAATTCGGCCAATTGATCGTTGATGATTGGCTCGAGTTCTAGTAACTTTCCTCGCGGATTGGTAATTGATCAATCACATGTTTTAATTGCGACAAGTGCTCAATGCTTATGGTTTGGTGCATATATGGCTCAAAGGACCGTTTCAAGCTAGTCCATACGCCATTCTAAGTCTTTAAAAATCGTGACACAGGT